CTAAGCTGAAGAGCTGGCGTTGTCTGTGGATACCTTCAAGGTCATGTGGCTGGCATGACTGCATGGAGCGCCGTTACCTTCCCGCTGGAGTGGTACCTATTGATGTACTCACATTTGCATGTTTTCAAACTGCTAGGTTGGCAGATGCTGGGGCTGACAGCGGAAGCTCACACCACTCCCTGGATTTGAACCTGCAACCTTTCGGTCACCAAGCTCAGCAGCTCAGTGGTTTAACCTACTGCGCCACCTGGGGCTCCGTGACATTCTTCTAGGTAGTGCCATTTTGCCAGGTTGTCTTTTGATCTGCTCACTCCACTTCTGAGTCTGTTCAGGGACTTCCAAGTTGCCCATTCTTGGCTTGCCCCTGGAGGAAGACCCTCTCTCGTGGGGGGCCATCCAGTTGGGATTTCCTGGTTTAGCTGCCCAGAGGGATACCCTTGCTGTTGCTGGAGGGGAGCCAAGAAGAGTGGTAGTTCTCATAAAGTTTTTCCTTGATATGAGTCTACTGAGCGGAGGCTGGTAGTCATGTAGTCGGTGGCTTTCACAGTGTCCAACCTGTTGTTGTTGTTCATTTGTTCAGTCGCTTCCGACTCTTCGTGACCTCATGGACCAGCCCACGCCAGAGCTCCCTGTCGGTTATTACCACCCCCAGCTCCTTCAGAGTCAAGGCAGTCACTTCAAGGATACCGTCCACTCACCTTGCCCTTGGTTGGTCCCTCTTCCTTTTTCCTTCCATTTTCCCCATCATCACTGTCTTCTCTAAGGTTTCCTGTCTTGTCATTATGTGGCCAAAATACTTCATCTTTGCCTCTACTATCCTTTCCTCCAATGAGCAGTTGGGCTTTATTTCCTGAAGTATGGACTGGTTGGATCTTCTGGCGGTCCAAGGCACTCTCAGAACTTTCCTTCCAACACCACAGTTCAAAAGCATCTATCTTCCTTCGCTCAGCCTTCCCTATGGTCCAGCTCTCACATCCATAGGTGTCATATGTTCCATAGTTGATGGTGGTGGTAGACCTGGCAGTTGGTGATTGAAAGGTTAATGTAAGTTTTGGTTCTAAAGGGCTGAGTAGTTTGTAAGTAACAGTTCATGGGAGAAAGCAATTAAGGGTGGAGGTATGCAAGAGATGGGTTGCAGCTGGGTGTTTCTGGATATAAGGAGCTAGCCTTGGGACTCATCTTTGGGAGAAAAGTGTTTGTTGTATTGTGGTGGTGGATGTTGCTGGTTTTTCTCCCAGAACTGTTGGATTTTTCTGTCTCCTGTAATCGTGAACCTTTGGACTGACTTTTGACTACGGTATAGACTCTTGATCCCTGGACTTTGTTTATTGAACTGGACCTTTTTGACTACAAAGTTATTTTTGCTATCAGTTTTTGTTTATTCTGTAGCTGCATGCTATCTTTGTGTTTTATATTTTGGACTATAAAAACAGCCAGCAAGTAAATGCTGTTTTAATTAAACTGTTGGATAAAACTAGGAGTTTGGTTAATCTCTAAATAAGGTAGAGCCCTGGCAACGTGACAATAGGTGACTACGGGGAAAACCATTGCTTTGACTATGCAGATCTTTGTTGCCAGTGTGATGTCTCTACTCTTCACTATTTTATCAAGATTGGTCATTGCTTTTCTCCCAAGAATTAAACATCTTCTGATTTCCTGGCTGCAGTTTGCGTCTGCAGTAATCTTTACACCTAGAAAATACAAAGACCATCACTGCCTCCATGTTTTCTCCCTCTATTTCCCAGTTATCAATCATTCTTGTTGCCATAATCTTGTTTTTTTTATGTTTAGCAGCAACCCAGCTTTTGCACTTTCTTCTTTCACCTTGATTAGAAGGCTCCTCAGCTCCTCCTCACTTTCGGCCATCAAAGTGGTATCTGCATATCTAAGATTATGAATGTTTCTTCCAGCAATTTTTACCCCAGCCTTGGATACGTCAAGCCCCGCGCATCGCATGTGTTCTGCATACAAGTTGAATAGGTTGGATGAGAGTATACAACCCTGCCGTACGCCTTTCCCAATGTTGAACCAATCTGTTGTTCCATGGTTTATTCTTACTGTTGCTACTTGGTTGTTATATGGATTCCTCAGGAGACACAGACACCCACACTTTAAGCTTTAAAAACATTTTAAAGGCAGAGTCCCATGGAACACATCAAATAACACACTACTACTTCCAGCCATGGGAGGGACTCCATCTTTAATTTATGGAGTGGGGGAAGCAATCGTCTTCAGCGCTCCCAATTGATTGATTGATTGATTGATTGATCAAGTCATCAGCAACCAGTCAATTATATTACATTTCTAACAGAACAAAGCAAACAGACAAAATACAAAATGTGTGAGTTTGGTAGTTGATTAAATATCCTTTGACCAGTATCTGGCCACTTGGAGTGCTTCTGGTGTTGCTGCAAGAAGATCCTCCATTGTGCATGTGGCAGGGCTCAGGTTGCATTGCAGCAGGTGGTTAGTGACCTCCCAACTGATGCAAAAATGGCTAAAGGTGCTTATTTTAACATAGGATGGGATTTGTATAGATTCCTTCACTTTAGATTGTTGTGGTGATGTTAAAGAGTGGGTGTCATTTCTAAATGTGTTTCAATGCTCCTTTTCTCTCTAGTTCTTTTAGGTAGTGCCATTTTGCCAGGTTGTCTTTTGATCTGCCCACTCTGCTTATGAGTCTATTCAGGGACTTCCAGGTTGCACATTCTTAGTTTGCCCCTGTTGGGATTTCCAGGTTTAGCTGCCCAGAGGGATACCCTTGCTGTTGCTGGGGGGAAGACAAGAGGAGTGGTGGTTGTTGTTGTTCACTCATTCAGTCGTCTCCGACTCTTCGTGACCTCATGGGCCAGCCCACGCCAGAGCTCCCTGTCGGCCGTCACCACCCCCAGCTCCTTCAAGGTCAGTCCAGTCACTTCAAGGATGCCATCCATCCATCTTGCCCTTGGTCGGCCCTTCTTCCTTTTACCTTCCACTTTCCCCAGCATAATTGTCTTCTCTAGGCTTTGCTGTCTCCTCATGATGTGGCCAAAGTACTTCAACTTTGTCTCTAGTATCCTTCCCTCCAATGAGCAGTCGGGCTTTATTTCCTGGAGGATGGACTGGTTGGATCTTCTCGCAGTCCAAGGCACTCTCAGCAGTTTCCTCCAACACCACAGCTCAAAAGCATCGATCTTCCTTCGCTCAGCCTTCCCTAAGGTCCAGCTCTCACATCCGTAGGTTACTACAGGGAATACCATGGCTTTGACTAGGCGGATCTTTGTTGCCAGTCTGATGTCTCTACTCTTTATTATTTTATCAAGACTGGACATTGCTCTCCTCCCAAGAAGTAAGCGTCTTCTGATTTCCTGGCCACAGTCTGCATCTGCAGTAATCTTTGCGCCTAGAAATACAAAGTCTGTCACGGATTTGTTAGATTCCTTCACTTTAGATTGTTGTGGTGATGTTAAAGAGTGGGTGTCATTTCTAAATGTGTTTCAATGCTCCTTTTTCTCTCCAGTTCTTTTAGGTAGTGCCATTTTGCCAGGTTGTCTTTTGATCTGCCCACTCTGCTTCTGAGTCTATTCAGGGACTTCCAGGTTGCACATTCTTAGTTTGCCCCTGTTGGGATTTCCAGGTTTAGCTGCCCAGAGGGGATACCCTTGCTGTTGCTGGGGGGAAGACAAGAGGAGTGGTTGTTGTTGTTCATTCGTTCAGTCGTCTCCGACTCTTCATGACCTCATGGACCAGCCCACGCCAAGAAATAAGCGTCTTCTGATTTCCTGGCCAGTCTGCAGAGGAGTGATAGTTCTCAAAGTTTTTCCTTGATTTGAGTCTACTGAGAGGAGGCTGGTAGTCATTCATGTAGTGCAGGGGTCTTCAAACTTTTTAAATAGAGGGCCAGGTCACAGCCCCTCAAACTGTTGGAGGGCCGGATTATAATTTGAAAAAAACATGAATGAATTCCTATGCACACTGCACATATCTTATTTGTAGTGCAAAAAACACTTAAAACAATACAATAATTAAAATGAAGAACAATTTTAACAAATATAAACTTATTAGTATTTCAGTGGGAAGTGTGGGCCTGCTTTTGGCTGATGAGATAGGATTGTTGTTGTTGTTGTGTGCTTTCAAGTCATTTCAGGCTTAGGTTGACCCTGAGTGAGGGCTGGGTAAATGACCTTGGAGGGCCATATCCAGCCCCCGGGCCTTACTTTGAGGACCCCTGATGTAGTGGATGGCTTTCAGTGTTCAACCTGAGGCAGAAGGGGATCCACCTCCTTGGCTGGGTCACTTCAGAGACCGACAACAGAGGCCTCCTCCTCCTCCTCCTCCTGGTGCCTCTGAGGCGACCCAAGGAAGCGGCCCCTTGAGTTCCCTCTGAGCGGAGAAAAGGGCGGGAAGGGCGTGACTGTGGTTGTTTTCCCCCGCTTTAGGTTCGCCTCCAGGCAGGGAGGGAAGGAGGGTGGGAGAGAGAAGGCGTATGTGTATATGTGCCTCTCTCTCTCTTCCTCTCTCTCTCTTTCTGACTCCAAGCAAGGCGCTCACACCTCTTTCCCTGACAGGAGGAGGCTGAGGCAGCTGGAAGGGCGAGTTTGTCGGCGGGGCGGCTCCTCCTCCTCCTCCTCCTCCCGGGGCGCTGGGGGTAATTAGGAGCGTGAGGGGAGCCGCCGCCTCTCCCTCCCTCCCAACCTCCTTCCTTCCTTCCTGAGGGAAGGGCAGAGTCAGTGCGCGCCCGACTTGTTTGTGTGGGAAAAGGGAGGAAGGAGGGGAGGGATAGGAAGGGCCGAGAGCCGTAGTCGCCCTCGTACCCCTGGCTGTCGCGATTGAGGCCTCGCTGCCTCAGTCCTCAAGGTCTAGCGGAGACGTACGCCGCTGTCCTGTTTGCCCGGCTGATCCCTGGCGCCGTCTTCCCGCGCCTCAATCCTTCCGCTCCCTTTCGGCAGGTGTAGGGCCTGGCTTGAGTGGCTGGCGCGCGTCCGAGCGCCTAGGTATAAGTAGATGACGAGCGTGCGCGGCGCCGGCGTCATGTGACCGCGCTCTCGCTGCTGCTGCTGCTGAGTGCCAGGCGCCTGAGCCTTCTGAGAAGCAGGCGGACGGAGGAAGGAAAGGACGAACGGAGGAGGCTTCGAGTGAGGAGGGAAAGAAAGCCCTCAGGTTTCCCCCACACACACAAGGCGACGAGCAGATACAAGGGAAAGCAGGGCCACCCGGACTGCAGGAGCCACTTTTCCGCCTACTGCTGGAGAAAGTTTCCCAAAGTGAGTCTCACCGAGGGAGGGAGGGAGGTGGGGAGCGAGCGACGTGTCTGGTGTGTCCTGAGCCTGGGAGGGGAGGGAGGGAGGGGGACGGACGCTGACCCTCGAGGCCTGGCGCCTCCAGGACAGTTGCCCAGAGCGAGGACTTCTCTCTCTCTCGTGCCCCTTCCTTGAGGATGGCCGGGTGGAACCTTCTCCAGGGACTCTCTTTGGCAGCTGGCTCCGGTTAGGCTTCCCTTGCGGGACCACGCTGTGGGTTTGTAAACTTCTCTGGCTCTGGGAGAGGGAGCGCCATTCATCCTGTCACTGGCAGGTGTGGGATCTGGCATCAGAGGCATCTGGCAAAACCCTCAGGTACCAATGCCACTGTGGAGAAGAAGCGCGTGTGTACATACATACATAGATTGCCTTTCTACTTCTGCTTTAGATCACATCTATGTAATACACACAGAAACACATATATATATACACACACACATATATAGATTACCTTTCTAGTTCTACTTTAGACCAAATCTGTGTAATGCAAACACACACACACATACATACACAAACACATACACACATACATAGATTGCCCTTCTAGTTGTACTTTAGATCAAATCTATGTAATACACACATATAGATTACCTTTCTGGTTCTACTTTAGACTAAATCTGTGTAATGCAAACACACACATACATACATACATAGATTGCCCTTCTTGTTCTACTTTAGATCAAATCTATGTAATACCCACAGACACAGACACACACATATGCACACATACATATAGTTTACCTTTCTAGTTCTACTTTAGACCAAATCTATGTAATGCAAACACACATACACATACATACATAGATTGCCTTTCTTGTTCTACTTTAGATCAAATCTATGTAATGCACACATACAGATACATACATAGCCTTTCTAGTCCTGCTTTAGACCAAATCTATGAAATGCACACATATATACAGATGCGCACGCACACACATACATAGATTGCCTTTCTAGTTGTACTTTAGACCAAATCTATGTGATGCATATTTATATACAGATGCACACACACACACATTCATACATGCATATATACAGTGCCTTTCTAGTTCTACTTTAGACCAAGTCTATGTGATGTACTCATATGTACAGATGCACATGCATACATACATATATACTGATGCACGTCCCTATAGATACACACAGAGAGATCTATAAATGCACACCAATAGGCTGTTAGGAAACGTGGTTGAAGTCCCAAATTATTATTATTATTATTATTATTATTATTATTATATTTATATTTATTCCCCGTCCTATCTCCCCCAAAGGGGACTCAGAGCACCTGGAGGGCTGAGGTTTGCCCATGTCTGATATAAATACACACATATATAGATGCACATGCATACATACATATAGATACGTACACACACACACAAACACACATATATACCGATGCACATATGTATGTACATACATATAGATGCACACATACACACAGGCATACACCCGAGGTCACTGCAACATTGGACTTGACAGGACTTTGTAACTCGCTTTAGGGAGGCATCCCACTCTTCAAGTGGGAAGGGAAATTGCCCCATGTGGGTTCGTGTCCTTTTTGTTGACTTGAGTCTGCAGTGCATGGGATGCTCCGTTTTGTTTTGTTTTGTGATTTTTCAACTCAGACTGCCTCCATTATGACATCCTTGGAGGAAGTCCATTTAAATCGTGACGTTGGTAGTGCTGGCTGGTATTGGGAGCCTGTGTGGTGAAGGAGTTTGAGTGTCAGACGACAACTCTATAGATGCCAGGGTTCAATTCCTGGCTCAGCCATGGAAACCCACAGGGTGACCTTAGGGAAGTCACACCCTCTCAGCTAGAAAACTCCAAGATAGGTTTGCTTAAGACAGAAACAGCTTGAAGACACGCAACAACAAAGTCATGTTTTGATGAGAAACCCATTTGCCTCACCTTAAATTTTGTATATACTGTACTTAATATCCTCAGCCACATCTAAAGTAATGCCTGTTGAAATGGAATATAAGATCCAACATGTTTGGAGTGTTTTTTATGTATTATTGTTTCACTGTACCTAAATTCAGTTGCAGGTTGGAAGAATAAATTAGTTCTAATGTCAATGTTCCTATTGAAGTCCATATTTGTTTTGAGATGTCATGTTTTCAGTAGAAGTTAAAAGTAGCAACAATAGTATTCCAGCAGTCTAAGCCTCATTGGTTTCATTTGAAATCAGTGTATTTTTATCGTTTTTAAGACACAACAATCCATCAGTATTAAGTTCTTTTGGGGTAAATGGGTCATCTTGCACACATGACTGTAAACATCAATATTGGAAACATTATTGACACTTCAGCTTCCTCCTTCTCTGAAAGTTGCTTTCCTTGTTCTTAAAGGCATTGTGATGCTATTTATTTTGGATGTTTGTCAGGTCCAGGCTTGGTACTTAAATGCTACATATGTGAGATATAAGAATAGTACTTCCTCTTGAGGAAATTGTGCTTGAATCCTCCAGAGTTTTCTTCTTAAACCAGAAATTTATAGATCAATTCGGTCACACTGTCCCTTCTCATGCTGCTTGCTGGGGGGGCTGGATGTGGGCTGTCATCTGAGCCATATCTCTTGCACAGTTGTGTGTGCAACTTTTTGTAAAGGCAGGAAGCGCCACTGTTCACAGGGCTGAATTTCTTTGAGTTGCTGGGAAAATCTGGGTCTCCTTGATGGTGAGGTCTTTGATGCTTTATAAAGTTTTAAGTCTGCAAAGCTTTATTAGCTGCACTGAAAACCCTTGAAAAGTTCTTTAATCGTGTTTTCCATAGAATAATTTCCAATGTTTTCCTTATATGGGTAGATTACAGAATAGAATCAGATCTAGATTATGCCATTAGTTTGACCTATAGATAACTTTGTTGTTGTTAATTGCCATCAAGTCCACTTCAATTTATGGAGACCAACATAGATTAACTTAATTTTGTTCTTTATGCTTTAAGACAATGGCTTTGTTTTGTTGCACCAAACTTTTAGAATGCTTATTTCTCTTTCCTTTCCTCCCAGTCAGAGTGAAGGCAGACTTTCAGGTTTTTCTTTCACTGAATTTTACACTGGGGAACAAAGAAAATACAAAAAAGCAAAATCTTAAAGAATGGCAGTGCTTCATAATAATAAAAGCCATTTTCTTTATTAAGGCAGCATGTCTTAAGTTTTAAAGTCACCAGTGTTGTAGACCAAAACTGAAGTAAATCTAACAAGTAGAGAAGAGAATTAGCATTCTACAACCTGATGCCCTCAAGATGTATTGTATGACAGTATCCATCATCCTCAGCCATCATCAGCAAGCAGAGCTCGTATGGAATAGTGAGGGGTCGGCCATCTGCCACATCTGGAGAGTAATATGTTGGATTAAATAAACCTTCTCTTTTGCCAAAGAAACAGGCCTATAGCAATCTAGTCAGCAGTTCTTTGTAGACATTTACTTTGAAATAAACCCCATTAAACTCAGTGGGACTACGTTCTGAGTAAACATGCATAGAATTTGCACAGTAAGCAGATTTTGTCCTTTACATTTCTGAAAGCTGAAAACAAAAAATAAGAGAACTGGAACTCTTGTTATGAAAAAAAAACCCCATATCATTTAGAAGTGCAAACTTAGACCGCTTTAACACAGCTGAATAAAATCCCACATTATCTGCTTTGAAATGGAATAAATGGCAGTATGGACTCAGATAACTAAGGGCCCTTCCTGACAGGCCCTATATCCCAGGATCTGATCCCAGGTTTTCTGTTTATCCCAGACTATCTGACAGTGCGGACTCATATAATCCAATTTAAAGCAGAAAACCTGGGATCAGATCCTGGGATATAGGACCTGTCTGGAAGGGCCCCCAGTTCAAAGCAGATATTATGGGATTTTCTGCCTTGATATTATTCGGGGTTATATGGCTGTGTGAAAGGGCCCTTAATCTAACTTAACATCTGTAAGCCTCTCTAATTTCATAACAAAGTATGGGGCATCTCTATATTTCTCTCATCAATCACAAGAAAGTAGCTATATGACCAATGCTTATAATATGTTCTTGTAAAAAATAAATACCATAAGTGCATTTAGATATAAATAAAACTAGATATAAAATGAACTTCAGAAGTGTGCTTCCTGGAGTTTCTCTGACTGGGTCAGTTCAGGCTTCATAACTAATGATGATTTATCATATTAGGAATGAGTGTAAAGATCTGAAACTATTGCTTCTGTTTTTAATTAGCCATAATATAGTCTGGCATCTAAATTGCAAACTGTTGTTAATTTTAACTCTGATCTGTTTGAAAACAGCCAGCTACATGACAAACAGTTTGAAGTTGTCATATTTTGAAGAATCAGTAGTTAAGATTTGCCAGAGTTCATTAAGCTGTGCTTAATTAAAATAGATGCAACAGCTTCTTCTCTGAACTCCTCTTTCCAAGAAGACGAGAGAGGGGATGGAAGCACATGGGTCCAAGGTTTGATGCAACAATAAACTATGCTTTTCCATGAAATATGAACCACCAGCTCATCTTTTGTTTTGGTATTTTTTCATTAATATATATTAGTGTTGTATAATAATAAGATGATAATAATAATAATAATAATAATAATAATAATAATACTTCATTTGTATTCTGCCCTATCTCCCCAGGGCAGTATAAAATTTTCTTTCTAGTGAACTTTTCCTACATGTGTTGTATTCTGTCTGTGCCTCTATCAGATGTTAGTATGCTCTGACATCTCATACTAAAGACATCCTATATGACTGAAGGCTAAAAAGTATCATGAAGCAATATTGTCATAATTGGCTGTTCCTTCTGTTTTCTATTTTTTGGGAGGGAGGGGACTTAGTAGGGTCCATCCTTGGAGCTATGAGAACAAAGTTTGTGCTTGTTCAAAATATCAGAGTGTTTAAAAAGAACAGGTAGTCCAGGGTTAATTATTATCTTGAGCTGTGTTGAAGAACCCTTCCCTTTTCACCACACCATATACGTTGTGGTTTACTTTGTCTAGTATAGATATTAGCCCAGTGCTTATCAAGGGCAGGTCTCCTTTGTAAGGACAGTAGTTTATATTCACACCCCTCCCTGACTAAATGCTTACACCCAGCTTGTTTGTTTGCTTGCTTGCTTTTCCTGTTTTGTTTTGTTTTGAATCCAGCTGCACATGAATATAGGGGTCAGAGAGGGCCACCTAAATGTTTCTCTGTGCTTTCTTTCCAGCCCAGCCAGCAGAGCTGTTTCCTGTTCTTTGTTTCAAGGCTGGGGTTTGCGTCATACATTCCAAGTAGCATATGTGTGCTCTTTCCTGTTTGAGGCTGTTTTCTGGTAGATCAGTAGCCCAGACCCGGCCCCTTGTCACTGCCCTGCAACTCCCAATCCCCACCCAGTGAATTATCATGTCTCTACACACTCACTGTTGCCTAAGATGCCTGGGTTATGTCACCACCAAAAGGCCTGCATTCACCTATTAACTTACACTATTCTGTACTGTGGTTTATCCTCACAGGTAGTTGAGGATTCTTATCCTGAATTTGACTTTTAAAAGAAGAAGAAGAAACAGATTTGACTCCTTTAAAAATAACTTGCAGTAGTTTGAATTGGAAACAATCCTAGCACACCCTGTATATCTGCTGTTCTTTGTTGTTTTAATGTCAGGGGCAACTTGAAGTCGCTTCTGCTGTGAGAAAATTGGCTGTCTGCAAAGACATTGCCCAGGGGACACAGGGATGTGTTACCATCCTGTGGGTGGCTTCTCTTATGTCCCCGCATGAGAAGCTGGAGCTGACAAGATAGGAGCTCACCCCACTCCCCAGATTCGAACCACCAAGCTTTCAGTCAACAGTCCTGCCAGCACAAGGGTTTAACCCATTGTGTCACTGGTAAAGGGACATCCTTTAGTTGAGCTATTCACCAATTTGTGTTAAAATATATTCGCAACTGAAAGGTTTTACAGGAATCACTTTTAGTGTATTTTGATCAGCTTTACTTTTATGTGGAAAAAAACTTAATATTTACAGCAGTGGTTCTCAACCTGTGGGTCCCCAGATGTTTTGGCCTTCAACTCCAGCTGGCAAAATGGCTGGGATTTCTGGGAGTTGTAGGCCAAACACTTGGGGACCCACAGGTTGAGAACCACTGATTTACAGTATTTAAAGTACATTTCCAAGCAATCAGAGCACATCGGATTTGTTATTTCAATAGTGATAGAAGAAACCTTTTTTAAAAAAGAAATCCCTACGCAAGCCAAAAATTCTACACAAATTAAGGCATTGATACTTTTGGAATTGAAATATATTTACAATTTCACTGTGTTCAGCTTCTACATTGAGACAGAATGTCATATTCCTAAACCATTAATACTTTTCAGTTGTTTCTATTCAAAACATACAGTCACATAGATTCTTGTAAGAAGTGCTTCCGAGTCTTCATTTTGAACAGACAGCTGTCATTTTTCTATATTATGGAAAACATTCCTCTGATATGGTAGTACACTGATGGATGCAAGGACACATTCGCAGTGAGAGTAGTTAGAAAATCTTTAAGAAGAGTTTCAAAAGAATTTGGAATATCTGTGAATATCTTGGTTTTGCTAGTAATTGAATTAAAATACATTTAGCAGTTAACAAACATTCAAATATAGCCCCCCCCCCCCCAGTGGCACAGCGAGTTATACCGCTGAGCTGCTGAACTTAGTGACGGAAATGTTGGGGGTTCAAATCTGGGGAGCAGGGTGAGCTGCCTCTGTTAGGCCCAGCTTCTACCAACCTAGCTGTTTGAAAACATGCAAATGTTAATAGATCCATGCAGTCATGCTGGCCACATGACCTTGGAGGTGTCTACAGACAATGCCGGCTCTTCGGCTTAGAAATGGAGATGAGCACCACCCCCCAGAGTCAGACATGACTTAATGTCAGGGGCAAACTTTACCTTTACCTTTAACATTCAAATGGAAAATTATATTATTATAAATCAGTGAAAAAAGAAGGGGTGCATTATGAATTTAAGGTCAATTAAAAGAATGCTAAGAATTTCAGTATTTGTTGTTAGTTGGTATGACAGATCTGAATATAAGAAAAAAACACCTTTTACCTGTTCTGCATATTATGCATGTTCAAAGGAAGTTTACAACCAATCTCCTCTAAATTCTGCACTAACATTATTCATCTATGATTGATAAACAGTATCTCAAATGATACCTAATGTTGTCTGCACTAATGCTTGTTATATTGTACAGCCACTATTCAGACCAAGAAACTTGGCCATGGAAGAAGATTTTGTGGGTCTTAACACAGACTAGGACAACCAGTTACATACATTCGTTTTAACCAAGTGCTTTATGGCTGAAACTTGCTTATATTTAGACAGATTGTTAAATTGTCACATATACTCAGGTTATGCATGAACTTATGATATTTTGCTTTGTTTTTGTTTTCCTCCTCAGAAGCACAGTTACCCAGAAAATACTTGCATGTAATATACAAGATAATCTCTTGGGTAAGTTTTTAAAATATATATATTCATTCTTCTGTCTAATAGCTTTTGAGATATAAAGAGGTATTTTGATTCACAGCATTGTGCATTGTGTTCATAAAAGTGTACCTTACACAACAGCCTCATCTGGATGTCATGCTGTTCCTTGGTTCTGCAGTCACCCTCAGTCTCACATTCTCTTTCATCCCTATTCCTCTCCCTTGTGGCCAAAAGAAGGAATTCAAAACTTTTTACTTCTTGTTTTTCTTAACTGTGTTTTTCATAGCTCACTGACAAACTCTGGTTATATAAGCTCTTCAAATCACATTTTAAAATGTTTTTTAATTAATTTAATGTAAAAAGAAGTGGGGGAGGGCAACCTGTCCTAAAGTCACATATAAGCAGACCAATTAAGATATTTGCCTTTCTTAAAAATCATCTCCCTTGATTTAAACTTCCAGCTATCTAGCTCCAAATAAAAAAGGTTATAATAAAGCAATCACGTCTAGTTTTTATTTTATTTTACTGGGAATTTTATAAAACATAGGAAAATTAAAATATACAGCTTAAAGTTACATATATAGGAAGGGTAGTGGCAGAATAGAATAAACTGGTGAAAGTTATATTTAAAATGTCTGGGATTTTTCATAAAATAAAGTTTTAACTTGATTTCAGATACAAGACATGGAGTTTTTTTGTTTTGTTTGGTTTGGTTTGTTTTTTTGCTATGGCTGAAAAGACCTAATCACCATTTGTCCCACGCTGTATGCTGATAATAGCACGATTACCAAAATTAAGACTCAGTATGTTGGCTGGCTTTTATGGATGCTCTACTCTAAATTTACATAGGCATACTGAAATGCTTCTCATTTGAGATTGTTTGTATAATTAAAATCCCCATTCAATCATTTGTGTTCAGAAAAGTAAGGTTGAGGCACAGATGATGCTCCCTCTGCAAATAAAAAGGACTTCCCCATAAATTTTAGTGCAGCAGACTCTCAGTTCACTGGAACTCAAGCAACCAGAACTCTTAAGCAACTGGAAAAAATAAATTACAATTGTATACTGCATTCACAAAGCTGTTTTTATAATGCAGTAAAACCGTGTTCTATTAAGTTAAGTTTGTTTTTATTTGTTTTTAATTATAGTGTTTCAATATTAATATCAAGTCAAGTTATAGTATGGTACACTTGTGGTGTAGTATTAGGCCTATTTTAATAGTAACTCTCAAACAATCAGAAACTACATTTATTCAACATTTTTGGGTGCAGGTTAACTGAGGGTCCTTCCAGACAGGTCCTATATCCCAGGATCTGATCCCAGGTTTTCTGCATTAAACTGGATTATATGAGTCTGCACTGCCAGATAATCTGGCAGATAATTCACTGATTCTCGTCCCATTATATATAGCATAGCAAAATGGCATCCCTTATGTAGAGTGGGATGATCAGTTCATGTTTTAGAATTGTTAAAAATGTTTTCAAACTGTGGATGTTTGAATCCATGGATTTCGAATTCATGGCTACAGAGGGCCGGATGTGATTGGGTACCTAACACCATGTAGATTATTATTGTAATACAATACACTTTGTTTGAGTTGATCATTGGATTGCTAGATTGTAATGTACATAGTGGGCTGTTTGTATCTGCTTGGGCACATGTGTTAAACTCAAATCCCGTGGGGTGAATGTGGCCTGCCATGTCAGTTTACGTGGCTCTCCAGATGCTTAACCATAAGTCCTGTGTTCTTCATAATTAGATACAGTAACATCTGGAAGTCTGCAGTTTGTTCTGTTTAGACAGGATAGACAGGATGAATTTAGATACAAGACTTGTGAATACGATGCTTGCCATCAAAATGTTCTTTAACCTTGCTCCAAACTGTCACGTGCTGTTGGGTTGCAATTCCCATTAGCCCAAGTTTGCATGCCGGATAATCAAAAATTATGGGAGTATTCAATAACATCCAATAACATGTGGCCGGCATGACTGCATGGAACACCATTACCTTCTCACCGAGGCGGTACCTATTTATCCACTCACATTTGCATGTTTTTAACTGCTAGGTTGGCAAAGCTGGGCATAACAACAGGAGCTCACACCGCTCACTGGATTCGAACCGTCAACCTTTCGGTCAGCGATTTCAGCAGCTCAGCGGTTTAACTCGCTGTGCCACCAGGGGGCCCTTGTTCATACATAATCCTAAATCAGGAATTATCACAGTATGCACACATTGTAATAAGTCTAAGTAAATCCTTGGATTATTTTCATTTCCTACAAAAGATGGGTTGATACATGTTGCATTTCTTAAATTTCCCAGAGTTCTGTGGTTCAAAACCGATTGCCTTATTCGCTCCATTCTAATGCTCACCTTTTTTTGCTAAATGACCTCAACAAAATTACAATGTGCATTAGATTCGCATCATACTGTAATCTTAGTACTGAGACAAAGCAAAAGGGGAAGTTGCTTCAGGAACACCTGGAGCTCCTATTTGAGGGACATAATCTCTAATATAATGGCCATGGCTCATTGCTATGCTATCCTGAGATTTGTAGTTCTGCATTCTTTGGCAGAGAAGGCTCAAGACCTTGTAAAACTTCAGCCTCCATGATTTCATAACATTGAACAAGGTCAATTAAAGTGGATTCATTTTACCACATAGATGCATCCCAAGGTTTTCTTTCCCGTTGCTGGAAGCTTTGGTGTTCTAAATTACAAAGAGTGCCGTTTTTGCTGCTACACATTATATTCCGCAGCAAATCCTTTTTTTGTTTTCAAGGTTTTGAAAATCGAGTTGTGCATTAGATTCGATGGCGCATTAGACTTAAGTGAATACGGATGGTTGTTCGATAAACAAACAACAAAAACAGGTTTTGAGCTTGTGCAGTTGAAACTGACCAAAGTTTATTTTACTTCACTATTTCTGAATTCAGACAAGCTAGCTTTCATGGAAAGTGAAAGAAACTCATCTGGGACATCAATGTTTTGTTTAACACCCCAATGTCAGGATTTGGACATTTATACATGTTAGCTTAACTCAGATACAGGTCTCATTAAGATCCCAGGTGAACTGGATCATCCTCGTATTGTGTTTAGGCACCACAGGGCTAATAGATGTTACTTTGTATGGTGTTTCGCTGCCACAGGGCTAATCCATGTCAACCTAAGGGGTCAGTGTGGATGAGCCCAAGGTCAATTCTGCAATGTGTCAAAGGCTTGTAAAACTGATTTATGCAGTCAGTTGAACTTGCAATAAATTTTAATAATATTTCAGGCCACTAGCTCAATTTTGGAATGGATTAGATTATGCTCATATCAGAATGAAGTTGTGCACTTCATTGATGATGACAGTGTGGATGTAAAATTAAATTAAATCAAGAAAAATCATTTATAGATGTATTAGATCCTTATATTCACAACTTTTAGCAGTGAAAATATGTACAGTATCTGAAAGGTAAATTTGTATAATCTTGCATTTTGGAGAGACAATAACACCGGAAAGAACCCATAAGAGACTCTTCAAAACAAACAAAAATGCCTATGTCAACTAGCTTTGAAATTTTATGTTTTCATTCCAAGGCTGGTTGCCTCCATTCCATGATTTGACATTTGGCATGTTTACTCTAAGGAAGAAATAGAATGCTTCCCTCATTAAGATTTCATCTAATGCCAGAGCTTCCTTTTAGAGCTGCTAATAATCATTGCTGATTTACTTTAAGAGGAACTATCATAACATTCATGTAAATTAAACAGAAATATAGTACAGACTTTAAATACTAAGGCAATCCAAAATGGGAAAATGGTTTGTTTCTGTCTGGTACTTGTGGTCAGCATGCAGCTTGAAAGACTTGGCATGCCAAGGAATGACCAAACAGTATTTTAAAGTAAAAATCCAATCATATTTAACTATTTTTCCATACTCATACTTTCTGTTCTTCTTCTTTGGTTTATATTTTTCATGATTCATATATATCCATGCTGATTTTGTGTCTTACTCATTTTCCCTCTGATTTTTACATCTCAATCAGTTCTAATAACATTGCCTCTTTCTGTGTAGCTTGTATGCATTTTATTCCAATTTTCATCAGCAGAGATAAACGTTTAACCTTTGGTAAGAGCATGTAACAGTAATAGGTGTACAATATATAATCTCCCTCTTGAAACTTGTTCTTTGTGTTGTTACCAAAGGAAACCACAGTTAAATTAAAACAGAAGTTACTTTGAACCCTAAAATATGCAAACATTAAAATAGAAGTAAATATTTTAATGATTTTAAAAACAGTTAAAACCCATAAAACCGATTAAAAGCCTATTCATGACTAGTTCTTAAAGGCTTCCTTCTTTAAAAGTCTGTCTGAATCAAAACCTGCTGCCAGAAGCATAAGGAGGGGGCCATACTGGCTTTCCTGGGAAGAAAGGAGTTCCAGAATCGAGGGTCAGCCACCAAGAAATAAGGCCTTCTCTTTCATTCCCACTAACCAAGCTTGCAATGAAGGTGGGACCGTGAGAAGGGCCTCTCTTGACTTTGGGCTCAGGCAGGTTTGTACAAGTAGATATGCTCAGCAAAATAGCCTGACCCTGTATCTGGTACCATAAACTTTTCAAAAGCCTTCCCTTTCAACATAGTTTGTCATGGGAAGGGCTACCACTTGAGAAAACGTCTAATTTATGTCTGATGATATTTCCTAATCTACTTGATTAATACTTGAGTTATCTAATTGCACCTTAACTCAAATGGATTAAAATAAATAAATCTCGCATAAATAGTTTGTATTGCCACATAACTTTGAGAGCAACTGTATGTTAAAAAAATTGCATGACATTTTCAAGAATGCAAATTCTCTCAAAACACCTTCCCCCTAAAAATTAATATTGTGCTGTATTGTTAAGACAAGTCTGGAATTTGAGATATATTGCTTGCATTCAAGAAAACACAATTCAGAACTGTCTGGTTTCAGCAAACTATTGTTGTAGCGACCCTAAAGTGACCCTATCACGGGGTTTTCTTGGCAAGATTTGTTTAGAGGAAGTTTGCCCTTGCTTTCCTCTGATGCTGAGTGTGACTTATCCGAAGTCTTCCAATGGTTTCCATGGTAAATTATAGTTAGTATTAGCCATAGCTCAAAACTGCTAACTAAGAAAGAAATAAAGGCAGACATTTCCAATCTCCTTGCAACAAAGGTGCAGCTTTATATTTAAAATACTGCTTCTTATCCATGCATGGATTTAATCTCCACTTATCTACACCCCAAAAATATGCATTCTAGGTCCTCCACTGTGATCTGTAATATGCCTATGCCCTAAATGTAGTGAAAACACAAGGCTTGCTATTATCCATGGTTCCAGATACCTACATGGATCTTGGAATTTATCTCATTCAGATATGGGATTGTACTGTACTATGTAGAAAAACAAGCTGGAAAAATGTTGAACAGGAAAATTACTTCAGAAGAAAGTGTTAAATAGCCTCTCTGTTGCCTTGCCGTTTATTTTTAGAGCTGTTTTTTTGTTCAATTTGTTTTTACTAAGAATTTTGAAAATTCACAAAATTTTAAAGTGAATAGAATGTAATTGAGGTTATTAAAAATGGTTATGGAAGAAACTGAAGCTATCTAGGCACAAGGCTTTGGGTTCCTAGCCCTTAAAAGTCTGGATTTGAATCCCTGTGTACCCTATTTTTATAAAACTGACAAGACATTTTTTTTCTGACAGGTTCCTCTTTAACAATGGGTCTTTCTGTTGGAAACAATTATCTGTTGAATTTGACTTGAGAGAGAATTATGTATTTTTGAGGACTGATAAAAAAATCTACATAATGGGGTGGAATTTTTATAACTAAAGTTTATCTAATACAGAGGGAAGCAAAACTGACAAATTTGTTGATCCCCGGTGAGAACTGTTAATTTTAAAGAAATGCTGGAAGTTACTGGCCTTATTGTTTTCATATCTGCATCTCAGACTTCAAAATAGCAGCTCTTCCTCTTATTTCACACACACTTTTTAAATTATTATTTATTTGGTTAGATATGTTTGTAACTTTTTACATTGCAAAATATGAATGAAGATGTGTACTTTCTTAAAATCAGTAGCTATAGGACATTGAACTACTGAATGCTGAAAATGTGAGTTTTAAAATGGGAATGGAAAAGTAAGGAAGGCTTCAGGAAAGAGATCTCCATATTTCTTCAGCAGGTTTAAGCATGAATGAGCAAGCTTTATCCCTCAGGCCAAATTTGGGCTGGCCCGTCAGTCATGCCCCTCAGTATGAGGCTGCATACTGAAACTGAGCCAACTCAGAAAGGAGGGCAACAAGAGAATGTTTTATCTGTGCCGTGGGAAGTTCAGTTGCTTTGCACTTTTTCTGAACAGAGTTGAAAGAAAAGCAGGACCAGCTGAGTCCCAAGGTTGGGATTCCTCAAACTTCTCAAAGTACTGGCTGAATTTGCTCCTCCTTGGCCTCCTTCATTTGGGAAGGGAGTTAGAGAAGGCCTGAGGACTGAGCCTTGCTTTCTAGCCTTCCCCATGGAGTCTCCCTCAGCTACCAAATGAAGGAGTTCATCTGACATTACCTTCCTTTCGTGGACTCTTTGGAATTAACTGGTCCACAGATGGCATCTTGCCCATAGGAGGATTCCTTCCTCCTCCCAGTTTTCCTATTCCTTGTAGTAGCAATTAGATCAGGAGGCATGCAATATGAGGTTAGGATACTTTTTTCTATGTTATAATTCACATTTCCTCTTTCTCATTAGCAATATATAAAGTATTCAATTTTGCGGCTAGCGGAACTAAAGCGTATTAAAGCTCTATTAACACAGTGGGAAAAACCTCTACAATCTCCAAAGCAGACACTTTTGAGTAAGTAGAGCTTTGAAGAGTAGCACTTCTGCTACATTTATTACTCGTCTCTCCTTGTGGTTTGAGGCAGGTTACAACATGGTTAAAGCAGAGAGACTATTTGCAGAACTTTTACAGATATAATGAACTTTTAATACTTTAAGTAGTGAAAATAAGTGTAATGGAAATGGAAATATTAGATGTAATAATTATAACTATGTACATTCACTATTCTCCTGTCACCCTCCCCCCCTCATGAAATAATAGATATCGATAAAGATTAAACTTACTAACAATAACCTTAATACCCCCTTCTCTCCTTTTGCTTGCTCTTTTTGGCACAAGTCTGTCCACACGAAGCAGATGAACATAGCACTGAATGAAACA